ATTTGCAGACAGCAATGTCCCACAAAGAGCATTAAGTGAAAATCCAATTTTTATGGGGAATTGTTAACCAGAACACCGGAAGAAACAACAACAACAACTTGGATTTATATAGTGCCCTCCGTGCAGGACAGCGTCTCAGAGCGCTTTACAGTAACGGATCCCGGGACCGAGCCAGAGGGTGGGGGGAGGGTGACCAAAGGCGCAGTCGAAAAGAAAGGTCTTCAGCAGAGACCTGAAAATGGGAAAGGAGGGAGCGAGACGAAGGGAGTGAGGAAGGGAGTTCCAGAGCCTCGGGGCATAGTGGCTGAAGGCACGGCCGCCGAAGGTGAAGCGGAGGACTCGGGGGACAAGGAGGAGGCCAGACCCGGAGGAATGAAGGCAACGGGTACTGTTTTGAGGAGAGAGGAGGTCAGAGAGGTAGGGGGGTGCAGAGGAGTACAGGGTCTTGAAACTCCCTTCTCTTTTCAAATAGTGCCCTGGTATCATTAGCATTCACCTGAACAGGCCGTTGGACCATAGCTTTTAATGGGTCATCCGAAGGATGGCATCTCCGACAATGCAGAATCCCCCAACAATGTATTGGAGTGTCAGGCTCGATTGTGAGCTCAAAATCTTGGCATGGGCTTCAACCCACAAACTTCTCACTCAGAGATGACAGTATTACCAATAGAGCCAGGTTAACACCTATGAAGTTAGCAACTAATAACTATTAATTATTTAGAAAAAATACAAAATGGTAGTAAAATATACATTTGTATTATACATATTTAAATTAACTATCTTCTATACTAATAAAACGACAATGTCTATCTGTACTTCAAGAAGGATCTCAATAACCAATTGATGTAGAGACATGATTTATACTTCATTGGAAAGGTTTTACAACTGGGAGTGACATGGGCATATTTGTTTTCGGGTATCTCCTATCGTTCATGAGTTATTTCAGTTTTGCATTTTTCACTGCAGTTACACCTGGTGGCACTATAGCAGAGTGCATGACAGAGTACGTACATATGTACACATGCACACATGCACGGCATTTACACCTGGTGGCTGCGCCGGCTGATTCTGGCGCAGTGATATCCTGCATCACAGAGCACACACGTAGCCAAGCGTCGGGAAGAAAATAAAAAACACAGACTAACGTTTTTTGGTTGCCATGGTCTCAGGAGGTGTCATGAGCATTTCAAGCCTGTGTGTGAAAGTTTTGAACCTGCTTTGCAAGGTTCCATTTTTCCTGTGTAACAAGTGCATATGACGTGGTTTATAAAATGCTTTGTCTCCACTCATTCAGTCAACAGTCATGGTACTTTTCCAGCATGCATTAGAACCATCTGAAATTTCAGTTTGGAATCACAGAGTTATTTCCCAGTAGTGACAATACTGTACAAATTGCTATGTATGGTGTAAAGTCTTGATAAGCTCTGTCAAATATGACTATTGGGAATGAACCACAGTGCCAAAAAGCATATCTGAACACACCCATTGTTATTCCAACCTCCAGCTTGTGTTTGTGGGATGCAATTTCATCCTCTCTATTGTTGACAAGTCAAACATCTATGGTACTTCTTTATGTTTTTGACTTGCTAGAAGGGATAGGTGGGGTCTCCTTGGACCTGAACGGGTTCAACGTGACATTTGGCAACACAATGTCAGAATGAACCCACTCTCTGTGGCAGTCTTGGTAGTGCAATTCCTGAACCAGGCTGGTCCTCAGTACTCCGCGGCACTGCTGATGACAGCAGGCTGAACCAACAGGAAAGTGCGGAAATATTTGCCAAAAATTGCGGGGAGGTTTACGTTTTTTGAGAATTGCGAGCATATTTTGCAAAAAATGGCGGGGAGTTGATTGGTGCTATTGAGGTGCGCTTTACTGCTAACCTACAATTTTTCAATTTATTGAAAATAAACTAAACGTGAGGAAATAATACATATTGCAAAAAAAATTGATTGCTTCTTTAACAAAAACTCTGTGTCCTTTGTTGTGGGGTGGGAGGGGGCACCAGCGAGGCTACAGGAGCTCTCAGAGCCCAGCACTGCACACGCACCCAGAGAGAGAGAGACGTACACACTCACAGACACAGAGAAAGACACCCATACACAGACACAGAGAGACACACACTCACAGACACAGAGAGAGACACACACTCACAGAAACACAGAGCGAGACACACACTCACAGAGACACAGAGAGAGACATTCTCAGAGAGAGAGGCACACTCACATAGAGACACTCACAAACACAGAGACACACCTACAGGCACACCCACAAACAAACCGAGGAGAGGGAGACACAAGCATACTCACACAGACACTCACAGAGAGAGAGAGAGAGACAGAGACACTCACAAATGCATATAGAGAGACAATCACACAACCAATCATTCACACTCTCACAAACAAACAGAGACACAGACAATCACACAATCACAACAGCAGGGTCTCTGAGTGAAGCCCATTTGCCACTTGTGCCACCCCCACCCACCAGGGACGTCATGTAAACAGCTGGGAGGCCTGCAGGCCAGAAACTAAATTTATAAGGCGGGTTTATAGTGGAGGGTAATGTTTGCAGCGAATTCCGCGGAAAAAGTGCAGCCACACTTTTCTATTCTCCCAGCTCATAGGCAGGACATGGAAGGGCAGACCAGTCACTGAATCTTCCCACTCAGCTCCCATGAATCCTGCAAGCCAGAGCACTAGCGGGTACGGTGGTGCTAGCTGGACAAGCAGCGGGAAAGCTTGCCAGACAGTTAGCTCATTAGACTACAGCAGTATCCCAATGCACACTTTGGGGTCCCCAAGCCTTGGCTCTTGCCAAACTGCGCATAATACTTCCTGGAATTAGGTAAACAGGATGCATCTCTCCAGGGAGAGAATGCACATTCCATTCCAATAAACATTTCTGGAATTTCCATGTGTAGGTGGGATGTATGAAACTCTGTTTGGTTTGCATACTCTTAAGGATGGGTTTCCACATGTGTCAGACACTCGTGCTTCCAAATTGCAGATTCAAACATAATGGTACATTTAACTCGATAAAGTGCTTTCAGCAGTTATTAAGGTCTAGATTGGAATAGATTACACCATTTTCTGTGTGTTTTAACTTTGTGTCTATTACAGATATTTTCAGACTCGTCTGTCTTGCATCCTCATTGTTGAACTAAAGGAGCATTAGCATTAATTTATTTTGTACTTCTATTTTGGTGAGATTCATTGCTTGGGTCGGAGTTTAGGTGTTAGTGATAGGAAATGGAACAACTTCCCATTTTGGGCAACCAATTCCAGTATCACGCACTCCTAGGTTAGGTATAGCATAGTTTGGTTTGATAGGAAGTAAAGCTGTTTCTTCTCTGCCCCATCAACTCCAACCATGCTCCACCAGCATGATATTTTCCAATTCCCATACCAGCCTAGTCCCCTGAGAGTGAGAGTGACAATTAAGTACAATTCCAAGTGCAGAATGTCGTGTGGAGGTTCCTTTTATTATGTTTATTTTATAAAAAGGACTTTTGATTCAAATGCAAATTCTGACAAGTCTGATGCTCATATTGTAAATTAAGCCTTTTTAATGCCCAGACTCGACACTGGCCAAACCCACTTGAGCCCCTGTTGAAGACTCAGACCAGTTTGGAATCCTAAACAGAAAATGATGCATGAATTTCACACCCGACTCCTGCAGCTCTAAATAAATGCTGCTACTTGTCCTGCATCCCACGTCTGGCTTGCCTGCATACTGTGGCCAGTGCGTGGGGACCATCCGAAGTAATGGATATGAAGATAAAGCTGAATAAGCATAGGCGCACTGATGCCAGTCATTTGACAACTAGGTCTTTCTATTATCACTTTATCCATTGAACTGTCCTAATAATAATAGTAATAATAATAATCCTTGCATTTGATGTAGCACCTTATCACATCGTTGAGAAATTCTCAAATCGCTTCACAGACTATACTGGAAGGTGAATTGACTATATATTTTGTGGGTGAAAATTAGCACTGAAAATGAATAACCTCCACAAGAATCTGATGGTATATATAAATAATGACTATAAATGAGCGATACATTAAAGTTGTACTGAATTGCTACAGTTTGGGAAGTTACAGCTAAAGAATTATGATGCTGATCCAATATTTTAGGCTACTCAAATCAGAATCACAATCTAATGCTTGCATAAAGAGCTCAGCTTGCAAGCTGCAATCTTTTCTATTAACACTGGGGAAGCCAACAAACTGAATTCAACATTTTGCAAATCATTATAAATAATATTAACATTTTCACAAATTAAAAGAGGTTTATTTTCCACTTGCTTTCAAAGTTCTCTAAAGGGACTCCAACCAATACCAATCTTTGTTGAGTGAGTGAGTTCTTCCTGGAGATAACTTTCACTGTGTGTATTTTATAAGGTGCGAGAGATGAGGGTAACTTGCAGATTAAAAGGATGTTTTAATGCATTTTGAAAGTCTCCATTGGGAACTGTCAGATGATTTATGTTGGAACAGTGCAAATTAGCTGTTGCGTTTTACCTACATAACAACATTCACTCAATTTCTAATTGATTTCATTCTGTGAAGTGCTTCAAGACATTTCTGTTTTTGTGGAGCCATTATATGAATCTAAATTGGCTTCCTATGCTGATTTTCAGTAATCAATGTGGAAGAGACTAAATAATAATAATAATCCTTGCATTTGATACAGTGCCTTATCATGTTTGTTTAGTCACCGGGTGTCTGGCATGTGCACAAACCCATCACCATGTTTAAGAGTATGCACGCCAGATCGATTTAGATTTAATAATAATAATCATTGCGCTTGATATAGTGCCTTATCACATCATTGAGATGTCTCAAAGTGCTTCACAGAATATATTGTAAAGTGGATTGACGGTGTATTTTGTGGGCGAAAAAAGGCAACCAATATGATTGGCGATATTGTTTTTTGAGGGTATAGCATACCCTTTTCAGATGCCAGTTGTTGAAAGTTCATTCCATTTCTTTGTTAGGATTTATTCGACAATGACTGGTACAGCTCGCGGAATGTGGTTGGGCAAGCAGATATCATCGTCCTCAAATATTCCATCAATGACAAAGCATCATTTCAAGACGTGAAGGATAACTATGTGCCGATGATTAAGAGGATACTGAACCAATGGACGATTCCAGTCATAGTTGCTGCTGTTGGAGCAAGGCAGAATGGTAAGTGTGAAAACTGTGTGCTTGTCATTCAAATAGGGAGCAGGAAAATGTTGGTGTTATTTTCTATCAGATAATTATGCTAAAGTGATGATTTATACTTAACTAAAGTAAAACCTATAATTGATCAGAAACAAAAGAATCGATACTGTGCCAAGTCAACTTTCTTGGACTATAGGCTATTTTTTGCCAGTATTTTATATGTATTTAACGGATTATAATAACAGAAACACTTTGTTAAATGGTTTTGTGAGTTCAAACAGACAGCATTGGGTAGCACTGTAGTTTTTTATTGCTGTTGTTGAATTACACCAATCAGGAAAGTCCCTCTCTGATCCCTGGTCAGCTAATTTCCGTTGACATGGCAGTGGGAGACCTATAATTAGCTACAGCGCATCGCAGAGCTAGGAAGAGGAATAATCTGCCAGAGTTTCCGTTTTTGCTCTCCAGTGAGTTGCTATTAGAGGTGCACGTGCTTAGATGTCAGGTAAGCACAGAATTATGCTGGATTTAATGCCCCATAGTTCAATAACAAGCTAGCACTCATTCTCAAATGCCTGACATGACTTGCTCAGTACAGGAAGATTAGACATTTCAGTGGTGGTATTGAAGGATTGCTAGTGCCGTGGAACTATATCCTTACATGAATCACCACCATTACATAAACTGTAACTTAGCCTTTAATTTTGTCTTAAAAAGGACAATATATAGAGTTAGGGTTGAGTTAGCAACTGAATCTTTGAATCTTCCGGGAGGCTGTCAAATTAACTTTGTAGGAATGTCAGCTGGAAGCGAATTCATCCTTTTAACTACCATCAGATTCAGGAAGTTGCTTTCTCCCTGAATCACTTTTTTTTTGTTACATATTTGCAGTTCACACATTGCAAATTCTGAAAACCTGAATATTAAAATAATAAAGCATCATAAGCAACAGAAAATACTGATCACTGCAATATTAACTCCCAAAATTAATGTTAAAATAAGTGTTTAAACATGTGACACTTTCTGCTTATCCTTTGCTCCTATTTGTCAGATATTAATATGAATATTTATGTTTGCTGTTATTACAAACTAAAATGGTGATAACTCAGGGAAATCTGTACACTGATATATTCAAAGGTGCGTGCAAAAAAATTGAGGCTTGAAGGGTTATTGGGGTAAGGCAGGGCAGATGGATTGAATCAAGACCTTTCTCTGAGATCCGGTGCAGACTCGATGGGCTGAATAGCCTCCTTCTGTGTTGTCAAATTTCTATGCTTCTATGCCTCTGCAAATCTGGATCTGGGAGAATTATTTTGTCTGTTGTGATCTGCAAATTCATATCTTTACTGAAGAAGATTGTATCATCAAGAACAACAAATTACATTTGTAAAGCGCCTTTCATGTCGGGAGGACGTCCCAAGATGCTGAATTAAATTAAATTAGAAACAATTGTGCAATAAAAGTAGCAAAAAAAGCCTCAGGCGCTGGCTGACAGCATCACCATCCATGGTTGCACACTCCACCTTACTAAGCCAGTCTGGATCGTTGGCGTCTTGTTTGACCCTCAACTATCCTTTCTACCCCACATCCATACCATGATCTGTTCTGCCTTCCCCCACCTCCGCAAAATCACCCGGCTCCACCACTATCTCACACCGCAGGCCGTCGAATCTCATAGACGCATTCATAATATCCAGGCTTGACTATATCCTTGCTTGTCGGCCTCCCATACTCCCCCCTCCATAGGCTGCAGATCATCCAGAACTCTGCAGCTCATGTCCTCTCCTGCACTATCACTCCCATCTTTGCTCAACTCCACTAGCTTCCCATCACACAGAGGATACAGTTCAAGATCCAGGTCCTCACAATTGTGCACAGCAGTGTCCCACAAATAGTCGTGAATTGAGTGACCAAGTTATTATTTTTTTTTGAGGGATTATTATCAGGTGTGTGGAGTAAGAAAACTTGCCAAAGGTTTTGCCCTGCCGGGAATCGAACCCAGGACTCTCACTTACTAGGTGAGTGCTCTAACCACTGAGCTACAGGATCTCTGTTGTTGTTGTTAGTGCATAATGATTACTAATTAAATCCTTTTCAAGAACATCACCTTTGAAATAGATTAAGGCTTGTACTAGGTGTCTTCTGGATGGCATTAAGTTATATGTATAGATTTGCACAAGTCCTTTCCTTCAAACCTCAAATTGGGACTTTGAACTCAGAAAGCACTGCGATATTGGAAGTGCTGTCCTTCAGATGAAATGTAAAACTGAGGTCCCATCTGCCAGTTCAAGTGGACCTTAAAGATCAGTATTCAGTAACAATTGTTACCAACATCTTGCACTTTTCCAATCTTCTTAATGAGAAGAACAAAGTCTCTTTAAGAGATTTCCATGACCATGATGAAGAGCATTTTACTCAATTTTCTGATGACTGACTCCTCTTTCAAGCAATATTTAGAACACGTAGAGGCTTTGTTACGCAAGATATGCATTTCAGTGGGATACACGCATACTTTGTGGCTTGGCTCTCAGCTGGCTGCTTACAATCAACACAGAAAGGCTCAGTTCTATGTTATGTTTTGCTTTGTATATTTTGAAGCAATAACAATACAATGTTATTAGCAGAGCCCCGTTTCCCTCAGTTCTCCAGTAAAATTGTATTTAACTGAACATATTCATTTGAGAAATGGAGGAATGGTATGTTTGATTTTTTTAGTATGGTTAATACTTTGATGATTGATGCATTGGTTCGAAATGCTTTTGTTTTTCCCATTGAAAATCCATTCTCAATTTGAATTTTGAATTTGTTTTTCAAAATGGTCTAACTTCAGTGAGTTTTGGCTAGAGTACCTATCAGGATCTCTCTGAGGGAAAGGAGCATTAAATATAAAGATCTGTCATACCTAACAATTTATATTTGGTCATCCAAGTATTTGAAGCACACGGAAACTAATCACTGCGTATAGGAATCTCCAACCAAGTTCCAAATTTACATAGCTTTTCTGGTGTGGAGTGTGCTTTATCTCCCCAAATGAATGCACTCCGCTTATCTAATCCCAGAAATTTTAGGCACAGGTTGGTAAGAGCCAAGGCTTGGGGATCCCAAGGTGGGCATTGGGATACTGGTGGAGTTGAACCTTCTAAAACTGCACAGTTAACAATGAATGACATTTATCCTTTCTGCTTTTTGCCCAGCCAGCCTCATTGGGCTTTGGTTATAGAATTAACAGTCACCTAGTGGGAAGATTTGCAGACTGGAGTGACTGGTCTGCACCTCTATGTTCTGTTAATGAGACAGACTGGTAGGTTTATCATCAAAAGTATCTTGGATGAACTTTCCTGGCTCAAGTACCAAATTGCTAATATGTCACCATGGAGCCAACTCTGCCCTAAAGAAAACCCACTTAATTCCGTCAAAGAAAGGTGGCCAACTAAGAACAACCAAAATACATTGGTACTGATGGCAACTGTGAAGATGCCTAAAATAATAATAATCCTTACATTTAATATAGCACCTTATCACATATTTGAGATTTTTCAAAGCGCTTCACAGAATATACTATAAAGTGAATTGACTGTGTATTTTGTGGGTGAAACGCAGCAGCCAATTGTGCACAGTAGTGTCCCACAAACAGTCTTGAATTGAGTGACCAATTTGTTATTTTTTGAAGTAATTATTACCCCGGAAAAGTGATCCGCCAATCGACTAACAACCGGGTTTCTACTTACTGCTAGAAAACAGAGGCGTGAGGAGCAAAGAAACCTGTCCAATGTTTCCCCCTGACAGGAATCAAACCCAGGTCTCTCGTTTGCGAGGCGAGTGATCTAACCACTGAGCTACAGGACTCCACAAAATGTGGATGTTTTTATTAGCATCTTATTTTTTCACTAAAAAACACATAAGTATATATTTAAAATAAATAGTGAAATCTTGCATATTACAGCAAGTTCAAAGAGAAATGTTATGTCAGGTTATTTTGGTCGGTAAAGAAAGGTTGCAAGGAATTGCAATGTACTATTTATGGAGAGTAACAATATTCCAGTGGTAACATGAGCACTTCACAAAGTGTGAAACAACAAGCCCTTTCAGGTAACAAAGAGAGGTTACCTGTGACACAAGGGCATCAGAGTGGATGTGATATTTGGTTTCATATTTAGCAGTGCAAAAGAACTGCTTAGTAACCCAGATGCAGGCAAATGCTTGTGTTGTAGTGATGTATTATACATTTATGTTTAATATTATAATGAGACAGTGCCAAAAACAACAGTGCAAACATGCTAGCCTTTAACACAAATAAACTGTTGGATCGTGAGAAGAATTCTAGGGGGATTAAGTGGGAGGCAGACTAGAAAACTTTTTTTAAAAAAACGCTGTAGGAATAATAAATAGACAAATCCTTTGAGGAGAAAAAAAGTAGAATGACGAAAACTGCAAGGTGAGTGATACAAGGTCAAAATATCCCATGGCAAAATATCCCTTTTGGCTGCTGAGGGCTGGATGCACGATTTGAGAAACGTCTGCAGGTCGCATACGCAATATTTTTGTGTTTCCCTTCCAGAAACATAACATACCATTTACGGGTTATGGAGGGAGTGGTGGGCCAGATGAAATGAAGAGAGGGAGGGGATGAAATCTAAACTCGGATAGAATTTCTCCTACATTGTTAATCCAAATTGAGTGGATGGAAGAGTAGATGGGCCACATGCCCATTTTTTGTTCTATATTTTGTTACATTTGAATGTAATATATTTTAGATGAAATACAGGGCAGTACATATGCGGAAACTGGGTGATATAAACACTGGATATCCATGAAAAACAATCCAGAGAGAAACTTCTGGTTGATTTTCTCCAGTCCAATCAACAACAACAAAACATTACATTTATATAGTGTTTTTCATGTCCTGAGGACGTGCCAAGGACAATGAGGAGTTTGCACCCGAGCTGCAGGTTGGGATCAGAAAGGGGTGGAGGGCAACGGTGTGGGGGAGGGGGTTGGAGGAGGGAAGATGACTGAAAGCA